CCTTTTAATAACTTGTGGGTTGGGTCATCCCACATGGGCAACCCACGACCCGTATTTTCTAACATCCATACTTCCTCGCGCATTTGAGATTCATTGAAAGAGTAAAGTTGGCTGAGAACAATTTCATCAGTGAATCTCCAGAATTGAACTTCGTCACTTCATTGGCAAACTGTATATATTTAACAGAATTGGATTTTAGGAACAATCCTTTGAATGGCATTCTTCCAGTTTCCGTTGGAAATCTTTCTACTTCTCTTCAATATCTTTATGGTTATAATTGTGATCTCAGAGGTAGTATTCCAAATGAAATTGGAAATCTAACCAGTTTGATAAAGTTAAGTCTGGTTGGCAATGAGTTGACGGAATCAATTCCAGCAACCGTGGTGACTTTGCAAAAGCTTCAAGGATTATATCTTCAACGCATTAAAATAAGTGACTCTACCCCGGACTCTCTCTGTGAACATCACAATTTAAATGCATTGTCATTGTCACAAAATAATAACAGGCGCTATTCCAGAGTGCATAGGGAATATTACTACACTAAGGCATCTATATATCGATACCAACATATTGACTCCCACCATACCTGCAAGCCTGTGGCTTCAGAAAGATCTTCTGGGGTTGAATCTATCTACAAATATTTTGCGTGGCTCTCTAGCTCAAGAAATTGGGAACCTGAAGGTTGCAACTTTTATTGATTTATCGGTCAATTGATCCATGCAGTGCATTATCTGCTAAGGAAAGATAACCCAAGGTCTGTAAATCTCCAATTGTACTTGGAATAGGCGTCTGCTGGAAAATATACACACACGCTTACATAGAAATAGAGAGGCAGCCGGCAGCTTGACGGAGAAAAAGAGAGGGAATTGGCAGCTGGTTTTTGGAGATGCACACATATCCATAGTCGGCAAACAAACAAAAGGAGACGGCACACATGAGAAGCTTCGCGTTTCGTCAATTTTTGGTGATGTCGTTCCACTTTTGCATGTTTAATTTCAACGTTATGAGTGTCTAAATACTTTTATTGTTAGGATGGATGATGTAGCTTAAAGTTTTTATTATATGTTTAATTCCAAAAGGTGATGTATAATTGTAGCTCGTACAATAATTAACATAGACATTATAAGAGATCGAGAGATAATTATAAGCTTTGCGATCTATATTGAATTCCTATAGATTAATGCG